CCACGAATCAGATACAATGTCGCTGCGGCGTATGCCGAAGAATAAATTTTATTGCCCACACAGAATTTTCATTAATCTCGCCATGCCTTCCCGAATAATTTTTCATACTCACGTACACGTACTTAGATGTGATTGCCGCACAGGCTCGATGATTTGAAAATTGCCACCCGGGAAGTGGTGGGAATGGTACATTATTGTGGCGTAATGGGGAGAAATTTATGCAATTAGGAGAATGTTAACTAATTAACTTACGCCTTGGCGGAGGGCTCGATTTTTCCAAAGCTCTTCAGTCAATTTAGAGGATTTGTAGCCTCATCTGGAGTTGATGAGTTAGTGAACGTTGAGCCGCAACACAATTTTTCAGTGTTTCAATTACATCTCTCTACAAATATCTTCCATGTCCTTCATATTCTAAAACAGCCATTAAGCTCTCATGTTAAGCTTTCCAAGACTACTGGCGTTGTAATCCTCATGGCAACAGAGAATATCCTGTGTTCCAAGATTTCCGTCTTAGAGAAATAATTAATTCAATATCCGATAATTGTGTTCAGTCCATAAGATTTGAGTGTTAAACTGAGCTTTTAGGTGCTATGCGATTTTAATTGACAAACGCCATAGTGTGTTAAACACTTGGCGCTTTCCCAGGCACACTATCTTGAGTAATTGAATTTAAATGGTGTCTCATAAGGAGTAATGCAAGGGTCAAGGCGTCCCATCAGCCCGGCTCAAGTTGAAAATGTCAAAGGCTGTTCAAATAAACTGTACTCGATGTCAACGCAATTATGGCACTATTTGCGAAACATGGTTGAAATATAATGGAGTTAGTTGGAGCTCCACTAATCGCTCCTCCAGCTTGAGTTGCCATGCAGGGCGAGAGGGACTTTCCTTTTCAGATGATTTATGACCTGAATTTGAATACAGTGTCAATTCCATTGATTAGAAGTGGGAGTAAGGATGCTCGGCGCGCAGGAAAGATGTATTGGCGTCTCATTTGAATGCCACAGAGACAGCTTGGCTGCAGAGAGGCGAAGTAATTAAGGAATGGTGAGTTTGTCAGATCAAAGCGTTCGATTGAACTGACGAATGAGGTTTTCGTGAAAAATATCTCATTACTGTCTTTAGTGCTGATGTCCAGATGAGGGATGCTGTGTGGCTGAGCAAAAACGGTGAGTCTGAAACGTAAATAGAGGTTCTTCTTTTAATTAACAAAGCTATTTTCATTGCTGGTGAATATAGCTTGGGTTTCCACAGAAATGCGCTCACATATTTCATTCAATTCGCACACCCCCAATCTCTTCTACCCTCCACACACATACACACACACACACAAGGTCTTTTTTCCCGTTCTCGCCTCTCCTTCCCCCACCCCATTATGTCTTTTCTAAACTTGCACCATTTATCTTAGTTCCGCACTAAATTTAAATTGAATCTATTTTTTATCCAACATCGACAGACACATTCAGTACTTTTGCGGGAGATAGAAAATGACGCATTTTCCGGGCACCCCATTTCGTCTCCTCATCCGCCCCGCACTTTGACGAGGGCTTGCATGGGTGGAGTGAGTGAAAACTTGCCAAGGAAGATTTTTCAATGAATCTTCTTTTCCACACAGCGAAATACTCATGCCATCTCAATGATACTTGGAGTATTTTTTGCCTCTGTCACTCTCACTCTGGCCTCAGTGTTGCAAATGGAAATATAACACAGCCAACATTGAAAAGAAATGAACGCAATCTTTTCACTGATTTTTTCCCGAGCACTTCCACCCTCTGTCATAGCAGAGAGACTGATTTTTATATAGGAATTTGTGTCGTTGGCGGTACCCATCGCAATAAGATAATTCATCAGCGAGCAGAGAGATTCCCCTTGTGGACTTTTTCGCTGAGTGGGTGGTAAAACTGTCGACATAAGCGATGGGAAAGCACTCAATGCAGGAAGTGTGCATAAATTTAGCAGCGGAAAGACAGAGAGACCCGCAAAAATTGCTGTGCGCAAAATACAATGTAGCATTGCACATAAATTTGTACTTTCTTCTTGAGAAAATAGGGGGTGATAAAATGAGAATTATTCCCTATTAATTCCCGCGAAAATGCATACTCTCCTTCCGACTTTATATTTATGGCATCCGACTTGGGGGTTTAGCCTGAGGGGCTTTCCTTCTGGTTTGGGGCGAGGATTGAGAAATGGAAATTATCCTGCTGAGGGAAAAATTATCCATGTTGAGCTAACAAAAGGAGACGATCATCTTAGCTTTTAGTTAATCCAGTTGGTGAACTCTAAAGCTCCGCCCAGTCGCAAGTCCCGCCGAAATGCCAGTTGAAGTGTAAAATGGTTAAATACAATTGCTCGTGAAACCACGAAAAGGGCACAAAATAGCAGAAAATTATTAATGAAAAATGCCACGTCTGGAAAATAATTTGGTGGAGTTGCTGCAACATAAAACGCGTGAAATTATAGCTTTTTAATGTCTGGCTCTAACACTTTATAGGTGACTTTTTCATTTAATACAAATTTACGAGCATCATCATTAGTGGCCATTCATGGTGAAACTACCTCAGATATCACAGTGAAACTTTATAGCACAACCGAATTGTCTTGGGCCCCAAAACACACTCACGGCTTTAAGTGGACTTAAACTTTATATGGCGAACTCCTCGCGCAGCATCGCTTCTGCAATGGAATAGTAAAGTGGAGAGTGAAATACTCCAAATATTTGCAATAATTGAATGATTCTCCTAATATCGTCCTTTCTTGCAATTTGGCGCCACATTGATGGGAAGTTGAGCAAGCAAGTAATTCGCAATGGCTCTTGAGGAGTCTTATTGGAAATGTACAAATACTCGAGCGCGATGTTGGCGATACTATTAGAGAACTGAAGAGGCGAGGTACAAAAGAGCTGGGAAATAAAATTGTGTACTTGTCTTGATACATGCTGTACAATCCATTGGAATTGGAAATGGTTGGAAAAAATGAGTTGAAATTGCTTTCACCTTCCATGTATTTTCTATCTCCTCCTCGTCAGATAATATCATTACAATATAATCCTATTTGGCGTGTCTCTCATTCTCGTCTCTTGCCTCCGATTCGCCTTTTTTCCCGCTAGAAACTTCCGCACATTTGCTATTGATTGGAAACAATAAGAGACAATGTTGCACGTGGTATTCATAAGTTTCACCTATTTCCTGTCTTGTTACACAAAAGACAGTCTTTTATGGTGTACGCCACATTTACCAATAAACTCACTATTGAGCACAAGCCAAGAATAATTGCGAAATAAAATTACTTCTCACCTTTCTCTCCAAAGTCATCAATTTGTTATCAGTTTGCTCCACATCTGAATGTGAAATTCAAATTTGTTCCGAATTGGGATGTGAGACAGAGATGAAATTCGGAGGAACACAATCAGGACGACATGTTGAGAGAAGTATTTCTATGGAAATGACAATTAAACTTGAGTAAACTTCGCCCATTGGTCAGGAAAAATGAATGGAATAAAGTGATTGAATGAATACATAATACATATTTCACCTTCTTTTTCCGGGAAATTCATACCATATATGCACAGAGGATTAATACGAAAAAGCCCACATTGCATATATGGTGTTTTTTTCCGCTGAAAAAGTGCTTCAAAACCAACTTACTAAATAACAAAGTTTAGGTATAAATACTATACAAATATAATTGCCATATTGAGTGTTTAGGTGGAGAGATGCAAGTGGAACTTCTTTGTAATGCAATTTAAATGTGAATCGTCGAATCGATATAGACATTCCGGGAAACGTTGCTCCTTTTGTCTGAAAATGCACGTTGGGCATGTGCACATGGTGAGGGAAGAAAAGGATTTTATGGTGCAATATACCCAACCGTCCGCAGAGAAATGATATTGAGATGGAAAATATTACATAGAATGAAGATAAGTTTGAATATCTTCCCTCAGACCATACATGCCATGATATTCCTTTCCCGCCAAACCCTTCCAGTTAGCATAGAAAGTCAGGAGTGTGTGTGTGAGAGAGAGTGTCTGTGGGGTCTGAAATTTTACATGCCCTGCTACATAAACACACAATATGTCTGAAAGTGCAAATAGAGTGGCAGGAGCGTGAATTTAAGTTTTAATTAAAATTCACCAATAGAGAGTTTGGTGCAGTACAATACATCATTCTGTCATGAATATATATCAACTGGAGACTTATGGATTCAGACAACTCTGGCTCCATCCATCTCTCATTCGCAAACGAGATTTATTCGTGTAAAATAGACATGCGATTTATTCCCATTCTCAAGTGTTATAAAATACACAAGAATATCTGGGTGCTCAACCATTTTGTGTTCTGTGCCAAAGGAAATCTCGCCTGATGGGGTCTTGCTATTTCGATGGTGTGCACGTTATTCAATCCGCACAGCAAACACTCTTCGCTTTGAGTTTCCATTTTATGCCAATTATTTTGCTCATTTTTCACTGCTCTGGAACAGGCTCAGACATCTCAATGGATGTGCATTGCATTGCAACCATTTGCAGGATTATTTCCCAATTATATTTCACTGGAATCGAGAGGGTCTTTGATACTCACAGTGATATATGGATTTCTTAAATATACCACAGATAAAATACAACTGAACATGTCGATTTATAGAGAGGAAAGCTGTTCTATGATCTCTTGAAGCACTCACCGTTTAAATTAATGCACACGTTTTATGTAAGCGTTATTGCTTTGAGCAAAAGTAATCCACAAAAAGTCAAATAACCGATCAGTTGCAGTGGAAAAGAATTGGATGTTTCGCTCAAGTGATCATGGTTCTCTTATTCTCTCCTCAGGCACTTATCTTACATCACCATCTCACCTTGAGATACAATTTGTCACAGTTGAGTTACACCATTGATCGATGGCTATTTTTTCGTGGTGTCGGAGTGATGAAAGTGAGACAAAAGAGACGCGATCAGAGTTTATGGACTTTTATTTGATTCGTCTAACATGGTGTTAATTGTCCTATCAAGAGCCTTAGTGGTGTCCATGGCCTTTCTTGTGTCCAAACTTCTTGTGATGGTCGCTGCCGCCCTTCTTGCCATACTCTGACTTGTGCGAGTGGTGCTCATCGTGTCCCTTCTCGCCCTTGTGGCCGGAGTGGTCGTGGTGGTGGTGTCCCTTCTTGTGGCTGCCCTTCTTGCCGTAGTGATCGTGGTGCTTGCCGGACTTGTGGTGGCCCTTCTTGTGCGATCCGCCCTTCTTGTAGCCATGATCCTCGTGGAAGTCTCCGTGCTTCTCCTCGAATCCTTCATCGTGATCCTCGTCGTAGAACTTCTTGTCCTTCTTGAATTCATCCACTTTGTGAATCTCGTGCTTTCCCTTGGTGGAGTGGCCCTTGCTGAAGCTGCCCTTCTCCTCGTACTTGTGCCCCTTCTCGCCCTTCTCGCCCTTGTCGCTCTCGTGGTGGTAGCCACCCTCGTCGAAGTGCTTCTTCTTGTAGCCCTCCTCCTCGCCGTACTGCCCCTTGTGGCCCTCCTTGTCGTGGTGGCCCTTCTCGCCCTTCTCGTATCCGTGGGAGCCCTTGTATCCCTTCTCGCCCTTCTCGCCCTTGGCGGAGTGCTCGTCCGAGTGATGATCCTTGCCGCCGCCGTGCTTCCACTCCTCGTGCTTTCCCGACCCGGCCACTTCCAAGTCGTAGTAGGGCAGCCTGAGTGCACTCGCGGCACAAACAACACCCAACAACGCCACTGCAACACCAACGCAAATCGCCGTTCTCGACACCATCTTTCTCACCGATGGAACAACTCGATACTGATTGCCAGAGTCCCTCACACCCCGTTTTATACGTTGGGTCTCTCGAGGGAAATACTTCAGCATTACGTATTGGGCAAAAATCGAAATAAGCAATACATAGTGAGCCACCATGTGAACACATAATTTCTTTCAAATGAGACACGTTTTTTGCCACTTCCCCTGCAATTTCTGCAGCTACGCAACTAACAGAGGTGGATTGGTTTGTGCGGCAAATACAAAATATATGTATATGCATATGAAATTAAAATAGCACAAGCAACGTAAATATTTAAAAATGACCCCCTAAAAAATGAGTGTAATTCCATTTTCAATTAAAATTTCACATCCATTTCAATTTAATTATACGTATAGAATATAAAATTGATAATCAATATTCTATGCCCTGCAACTTTTTGCAATAGGAGAATTCCACAAAATCATACTGCGACTTTTTCCAAAGCAATTTCCTGCAGTTGTGCAAAAACACTGCAATCAAGCGCCTGGCATCCTTTGATGTGCAGATAGATCTCAATTTATTTATATTGCCACTTGTCATCCCAATCGCCTATAAATTCGGACCTGAAAACTTGCAAAATCTATGATTTTATTGTCACTTGAGCTCATTGAATTTGAAAGAGCAATCAAGCATGTAAAATTGCACATTGTACATACGATCGGAACTAATTGTGTGATACATATAAAATTCTCTCAACGTGATTAAAACCCACAGACAAAAGTTATTTTCCTACTTCGGTTTTTACGCCAATGCTGACGGTATTTTGATGAATTATATTCTTATAACAAGTTGCCGAAATTAATAGACAATATTTTGCCAGGTGAAATTATGCAATTTTCCATTAATTTAGTTGTGAAAATTAATTATTTTCCCACGTTCCACACATTCCCAAAAGTCCTTCAGACTGAACTGAAAAAATGCTTTTTTATTGTAAATTCATATTAAAATCACTAAAAAAAGCAAGAATGTGCTTTTATACAATGTAAATCCTCTGCACAATGTACTTAATTAAATTTCATAATTTAACCAAAAAGAGTGTTTGAATAAATATTTTTTTAATCAGTTTGTCAGCAGACTTTCAACAGCACGTGAAAAGACTTTATTAAGCAAGATTAACAAACCGCCTAAATAGACTACAGAACACTTTAGATAATGCGGTGTATTTGGGTGTTTAGGCGAACATTTCCCCTAAATACTTCTACACACATTTATCTTTTCCATCCCTACTCGCTTGGCTTTTAATTACCAAATTCCTCCTTTTTTATTTTTCCCACAATTTCCTGCTTCTTCAACCGACCACTTATCTCTTGGAGTTCTTCCTAGATTTTCCCTGTTGATCTCTAGCGCAGAAAACTTTCCTAATATTTCTTCCCAAAGTTCATCATTTGGGTGAGCTTTTTCCCCCTGTTTCGCTCTGTGTGTATATGTGTGTGGCTGTTAAGGTGAAATGAGGTCATTTTTTCACCCCCGCAGTTGAGGAATTCTTTGCAGAGACCACAGCGTAAATTAAATTTCATTCCAAATCACAATCATGGGAGAGCAATTTTCTTCACAATTTGATCTGTATGAAATCTCTCATTCAAACACACTTTATAATACCACAAGAGCTCTGGCAACTCCCCAGTCAGTGTGGAAATGCCATGTAAAGCAATTTCTTTGGGCGAATGCAGAAAAGAGTGGGTGCGGAAAAAAAAGTGCTCACGCGGAGTGTTGGCAAGAAAGGGAGAGGAAGAATCAAATGAATTCACCGAGCTTCACATAGACGTAATGGTAGTTGAGTACGTTTTATATATTAAGATAATGAACAAAGATCCTACTTAATGAATGTCGTCTACTTATCTTGATGTGACTCGCTTAATTAGATCAACCCCTTTTTGTGCCGAGGCGCATTTTAAAATAACCCGAGAATAAGTGTATACATAAAAAGTTGACAAATGAAGTTAGATATATAGTAAATATTGTATCTTCTTTTTTCCAACCCTCATTCTCTGTCGCTCCGCATCTCATGTGGGTGTGAATAAGAGTTCACCTCAAATGGGACTTTTTGCCCCGTTCGCCTAATCCTGCAGCTCTTCTCCAGAAGGACGAGACCCGTCGCCAATAAAAGGGGAGCGAATGTCGCGTAAAAAATGTTTATAGTGTAATTAAATTGACAGCGAATGTATTGAGATAATTTTGCTTCTATTAAAACTTCTCACAATGGCGGTGGGGCGACAGAATAAAAGAAAAGGCGAGCTGTATTCTATTTTTTCGGCTATATAAATTAAAATTTATACGCCATGAGAGATTATAGCTGAAGGAGAAATTGCGAATTGGGGTAATTACAGGCGAAGAGAGGGAGAGAAAAAAAGTTTCGCCCCAACCCACGTGCCAATGTTTTAGGCATTACTTAAGGGTGCCACAGAGGAAAAACTTTATCCTCCATTTGCGCCCCATCTTCAGCCACACCTCTTCGCGTCGTGTTTAGCCAATTTTGTTAAATCTACTCACGAATTTTTGACCAAGAACACACAAAATACCTCTCCAATTCATTGGTATCCAACCAGTGTGGCTCTCCTTCAGAAGACTTTTCTCACTCTCTGACTCCATTCATCCGAGAAAATTCACAAGGTCTGAAGTGATTAGGAAAGGGACTACACTGCAAATCTTCCAGATTTTAATTCTTATCATGACTCGCCCGAGACTTTAGAGTGTACGAGCTTTCCAGCACTGTGTGCAGCAGTATTTCATTTCAAGGGAGAGATAATGTGGTCAGAAGTGGTGTACAGATCGGTTGAAATTTATGGAAATGTTTAATTTTTTGCAATATTTGAGCTTTGTTTTTTTGTAACTCAAATCGCAGCATTAATTATTACCCAGGTCTTAATTTTGACTTATTTTTCTAGGTTATGTGACATATTTAAAACGAAAAAATGGTTGAAAATAGTAATTCTTGCACTGAAATCGCAATTATTTCCATTTATTTACAGAATTGTACATTTTCTCTCATTGCAAATCTCAATTATGAAAATTGAGAGGATTCAAATCAAACATAACCTCAAATTTTCACTTTACAACACCAAATTTAAAGCTAGAATTATTCTAATTTTAATATTGTTGTTAACACTTCATGGAGTTTGAAGTCCTAGTGAGTCTTAGTGATTTTTCATACAAATTGTAGAAGTGTCAGGAAGTGATGTACGGCTTTTAGCCATATAATCTCCCCCTTTTTCATTCAACCTGGGTGGATATTTAATTCACAAACAAGTATTTGTGTTGTACAGAAACAAGTCATCGCTTTTCCGCAATTAAGCCTGAAAGGATTCCGACCAGAGTCGATGAAACTCAAGAAATGACGGGAAATTCAGCCCCGAGAAACCGGCCCGAGAGTATAACATTGGCCTGTGGGTGCGAGGATTTCGTTGAGATGAAGAGGAAAACTTTGCAAGACCATCCGAGGCGCTCTGCCATGCTATTTGTATAAGTAAGTCATATGTAATGCACGGTGAAAAAGCTTTGTGGGTCGTATATTCGAAAATGGGAAGCTATTTACCTTGGCCAGGTAGCAATCCCCACTACACTTGGCGGAACATACCAGAAGACATGCCCCATTACATAATATATCAACCAATGTGGCACTATACTGTCTCCACTTGTACTTTATATCCCTGCACCTTGATACAGTTTACTTACTATGAAAACCCGCACACGTGGCGGAGAGTCTGGGCTAAGGCGGCCTGCGAGTGGGAAGGAGATACAGTTGCAAGAGTTATAGAGTGTGGAAAATGGGATTTTTCAATTGTGTGCGACTTGAAATGGAAAATTAAATTAAATTGCTCAGCGGTGGAGGACTTTCCCATACAATAACTCCTCTTCCAGGTGCCATATATTACACACCAATTAGGTGAGAAAATTCAAATGTGCCCGCGCGGAAACACGTCGTTTTCCCACAGACACACACCTAAAAATAAGATATTCGCACCCAAATTATGATGAATATATTTTCGTAATCCTTCCACTCTGTGTGGCATTTGCATGGTGATTTAAATTGTGACCCCATCCAGAGCTTTTGCCAGTAATTCTCCGAGGTTTACACGTGTCCCTATTCTTCATCTGTTCAAACACTCCTTCACGCCAATTTTGCAAATTCTTTTCCACAAAATACACGACATTTGTGGGCTTCCCCAGAGATTTTCATGCTCCTCCCAAACTTAGTCTTTCTGTACGCAAAGAGTCTCTTTAAGCGAAAAGACAAATACCCAAGAATGGGCAAACATGAAAAAATGCCACGTGTGATGAGACGGAATCAAATTACACGAGGAGAGATTTGGAAGATTTACTGCGTTGAAGTTCTACTTTTGTGTCTTTATAGTACATTTTTCCAAAACCATCTGCAATTGAACCAAGCATGCAATTTGCTAAAACTTCTCTGACTTTTCCTTTGTGGAAGTTCAATTGCCGAAAAGCATCTTCGGATTTATCCAGAGGGAGTTGTGAAAAATTTCATTCGAAGAATTTTTCCTGATTAAACTGCTTACTTGGGAAATTTGATACTTCTAGAATTATCCGGTAAATTCATCGCACATTTCATTCATGTGAGGAAATTCCTGAATTTTATCTGGGAATTTCACAATATCGCGTCCACTTTAACTTTAATTAGGAATTCCACACGAAGCATATCGATAAGGAAATTTCTTTCCTCAACATCCTCTGTAGAACACCGCATGTGTGATGATTTCCGATGTTGACGGCGCGATTTGCCGACATTCCGCTGGGTAAATCGATGGAGTAAGAAAAGGGTTGCCAGAAAATTCCACGAACTGAGGAACTCTCTCAATTAGCTTTGACTGTTAAATTGAATTTTCTCGTGAAAGTGCGCCGCACAGTGTGCCAATCACCCAAGGAATGTGTATCAGTGAAGCAATTTGATGTAATTTCTCCCCAAGATCAATTAATAGTTGGGCATTTTTCTCCACCCCTTCGCTGAGCTCGTACTTTTCGATAACAATCCAAAGTATTTCTTGGTTCATTTACAAGACAGCACCCAAGTAATTGGAAGTCATTAAGTCTTAGTGAAACTCCACAGTTG